GAGCATATTATGAGAAAGATTCAGCATTTCCAACACACGTGATCCTCCAAGCTCTCGTGGAATGTCTCCTGTTAAATTATTCCAACTCAAATCAAGAGTTTCAAGGGCAAATATTTTGCTTATTTCTGATGGAATACTTTCCTCAATTAGATTGTTGCTCAGGTTCAAGTGTAATAACCTGAAGCAATTCCCAAGTTGTGTTGGAATTGGTCCAACCAGATTGTTCTTTGCCAAGCTAAGATGTTGCAGATTAAGTAGGTTTCCTATCTCTGGTGGGATTCTGCCAAAGAGTTGGTTGTCATTTAGCAAGAGATAAACCATGGCTGTCAGCTTGCTTATTTCCTTCGGAATCTCCCCACTCAGTTGATTTAAAGAGAGGTCAAGCCCAGTCAATTGAGTGGCTTGAGCTAGCTCAGGAGGTATCCTACCAGATACCTTATTGTTGGAGATCCTCAAGCTCGTGAGGTTTTGACATAGACCCCAATTTGGAGAAAGTTCACCGTACAACTTATTATCACTCAAATCAATAAAATCCAAGTTGGGATATATGCCAAAAGCTTCTGATATATTTTCTTCAAGTTGATTCTTCTCAAGCCTTGCCCTGTATAAGCTAGCGCAATTTCTCAAACTTCTTGGGATGGGACCAGTTAAATGGTTTCCGTTGACAGCCAAATATTTGAGTGAGCCCCCAAGGCATATATTGTCAGGTACATGGCCACTGAGTTGATTATAACTTAATTGTAAAGATTCCAAAATAGTGAGGTTATTCATTTCTACTGGAATAGGACCAGACAAAGAGTTTCCTCTAAGCTGTAAAATAGTAAGTCTTGTCAATTTTCCTATGGAAGCTGGGATTGGACCAGAAAGCTTGTTATCAGAGAGAGAAAGAGTATTTAAACTGGCTAGATTTCCTAAAGAAGCTGGGATTGAACCAGAGAAACTGTTATTATACAAAGCAAGATTAGTGAGAGAGTTGAGAAATCCTATTTCTGATGGTATTGAGCCAATTAACTCGTTATCAAAGAGAAGAAGGGAGCGTAAACTGGTTAGGTTTCCTATGGAAGTCGGTATAACACCTGTGAGATTATTTCCTAACAACTGCAGGTCGAAAAGTGACTGAATCATTCCTATTTCACGAGGAATAGAACCAGAGAGCTCATTTGCATAAAGGTAAAGATGTCTTAAATGGCTAAAATTTCCGATTGCTCTCGGGATCATACCAGTTAGGGTGTTATTGGAAAAATCAAGCAAAATAAGATATCTTATCATCCCAACTTCTTGAGGTATAGAACCATTGAGCCTATTGCCTTGAAGGTGAAGTTCTTTAAGTGAACTCATCCTTCCTATGTCTGTTGGAATAGAACCAGATAGCTCATTTTCAAAAAGATAAAGCTGTTGACAATTGCTTAAATTTCCTATTGACGCAGGGATTGGACCAGTAAAGGAATTCAACGCTAAATGAAGCACAAGAAGTGATCTCATCATTCCAACTTCTTGAGGCAAGGAACCGTCGAGGTTGTTGCCAGTGATTGCAAGGTAAGACAAATTACTTAAATTTCCGACGGAAACAGGAAGTGAACCACTAAGTTGGTTCCAAGCAAGGTCGAGTACGGTGAGCAAACTCAACCTTCCTATATCCTTGGGAATATTTCCAGAAAAATTATCATTAGTAGACAAATTGAAAAAAGTGAGTTTGGACAAGTTAACGATGTCAGAAGGAATGGCCCCATAAAGTGAATTATTACCAACATCAAAGCGAATTAGTTTGGGGAAGGCCAAGAAGTTAAGGTTGCCGAGTGTACCTTTGAGACCAAAATTTGAAAGGCTTATGTTGGTGATGCTTCCAACTTTGTCACAAGCAATTCCAACCCAACTGCAAGGAGTTTCCCCAACCCAGGAAGAGAGGAAGCTTTGGCTTTGGTTGTCAAGACTGGCTTTCCATTTGAGAAGAGTTTCTGTTTGATTAAGGAAAGGAGTGGTGGAAGAAGCAGAAGTAGAAACAAGAAAAGACTGAAGTAGCAGGAGGATGAACAAGGGCGATGCCATAATACCAATGATTTAGAATGCCTTGGGGGTACAAAGCATGCTCTTGCAATGACAGATATTTATACACGTAAATGAGTTAAATAGGACGAATCAAGTGGGACATCACGATTCACGACCAATATTTCATCATTTTTAATTTTATGCTAATGCTCAAAGAATCTGTCCTAAAAAAAGAGATTTTTAACATTTTTTTTTTCATCATTTGCTTTTATTTAATATTTTGCAAATAAAGCACCTTACCTTCCTAAACAATAAAAGGAGATGATGAATTCTTGGACACTTGTGGAATATAAAGTAAGCCAGAAGACAGCAGGTGGTGAACTGAATTACTTCATTTGTTGCAATTTATTTATCACATTCATACTTTTTAAAAAAGAGTTGTTTCAATTTTCTTATCAATTTTTATTTTAAATAAATTATTAAATTTTATTTTATTTTTTAATTTTACTATTAATATTTCACATTTCTAAACTTCCTTTATCAATTAAATCCTCCTTTTAAAATCAAAGAATGACCCACTAATAATTATGGTTTTATGAATTTTAATACTCTTCTAATTTGATTTAGTTATTTTATTTTATTTATTCATAATAATAAAAAATTCATTCATTACAATAATCCAGATTAATCTTTTCATTTTCACCCTTATTTACAATTATACAAAAAAATGCTAAGGCATTTTTGTCTCTTTTGAGATAAGTTTAAAATTGAAATATTAGTATTTAATGTTGGATTTTTCTTGAACATAAGTTAAGAGTACATTTATCGTACTCTTTCACTATTATTTATATGAAAAATTATAAAAGCAAATTTTATTTTCAAAACTAATGTCATGTGAAATAATTTATTTGGATTATTAATAAAAATAAAGTCAGTTTTTTTTTATATAAATTAATGATGAAAATATGTAATAAATGTATCATTACCTTCAATATTTTATTAAAATAAAATGTAAAACAACTAAATCATATTAGAAAGAGTAATTTTATTTAAAATAGTATCAGGCAAAAGCAAAAGAGTAATAAGTAAATTAAATTACAGACATTAATGACTTATTAGTCTGAGTAAAAGGAATTCAGTTTTTTTTTTAAAATAAAATTTCAATTTAAGTCTTTTGAATAGAAAAATAGATGTTAAGAGAGTTTCTTCTTTGATGGAATCCAACTTATTTCAACTTCAAATTAATTGAGGTTGAATGTGGTTCCCGTATACTTGGAGTTTAATATAAAAATAAATGGAGAGGTCAACGACTTAAGTATCTCAGTAATAATCTCTTTTCGCTAAAAGTAAGAGATTCTAAGTTAGAGTCGCATAGCATGCGAGTGGAGTAAAATAAGATATGTAAGAGGGCTGTCTTCCGTTATGTAACCAATATAAAAAAAATAAAAAATAAATGGAGAGAGCATAATAAAACGTTGGTGTACCATCCATGGGATTGTCGACAAATTTGCAAAAACTATTAAGTTAAGATTAAGAAATCTGTTAAATTTTGTTAATTAAATCTTTTAAAAACTGCTGTCCTGAGAGATGACTTAAGCCAGAAAGGTAGATGTAACTTGGAAGTTCTAAGCAATAACTATAACTGACAGTGATAAAAAAAAAAATCCGTTAGAATTAATTACTTCTTTAAAACTTGATTTAGTTTAAACTTAAATCCTTTAATAGATATTCTAAACTTGGTAACAATAGTTCATAAATAAATTTGTAAAGACTACTCAAGTTAAGATTAAGAAATTCATAAAAACTATTTCTTTGCGAGCTAATTTGCTTCATTCAAATTTAAATCCTTGATTCCAGTAGGGATTAAATAGCAGTAATACTTTAAGATGCAAATGTAGGTACTTTTCTCATGGTTGCAACTTGCACAAACCCGAAGACAATTCAATTAATTCCTTTATTTATGTCTCATTCCATACCTTAGATTCAAATTCTAACAGCATCCCTAGGCAAGAAATTCCTTGGTCAATACAACTAGAAGCAAAAAGTGGGGCATAACAACAGAAATTTCTTGACAAAATATTCGCACAATACTGTTAGCTTATGTAAAGTCACTCTTAGTTTTCAAATTTTTTTTTCCATCATTTTCACTTTTATGCTAAAAAATTGTCTCCTAGGAAATACACTACGAAAGCCACCATGAATTCTTTGACGGTGGTTCTATTGGGAAGCTCCAGTTTGTGGAAAATTAACAAGTACACGGAGAGCACGGCAGACACTGCCGAACCTTCAATTGGTTCCTATGACACGTTAGGCTCTTGAAACTTCTAATAAGACCTGTAGCCGAATTCTTCTTTGTCCCTTGTTTTCTTTTCATTTCTTTTCTTTCGTTTATTTTTTTTGCTTGGACCAAGGGAAATGTGAAGATGGGAAAAAAACAAACAAAAGACAAGATAGCACGACAACAGTACTGTTGTATTATTAATGTCAGGCTCTTGAAACTTGTAATTAATGAGACCAAATTGTGGATAAAGGGACATTTGGGATGCAAAAATAGAAAGAAAAAACAAGATATAGTTCTGTTTATTGTTAGGTGAAGCACTGCTATCATCTACTTAAGATTATTTACTGTTCTCCATTGAAATGAAGTAGTTTATGGACTGCTCACACCTATTGTTTTCTCGTTTTTACTTTCCTATTATAATCTTTACTTGATTTTAACTATCTTAGTTTCACCTGATGAAATATCTTTAACGTTGGAATGAAATGGGTCATTTAAGCAATCATTTTCTTAGTGTTACTTCTTTCTCCGCATCCTTTTTCCATTCTTTTTCCTTCGGTCCTCTCTTATTAGAAGCGCACTAAAGTTACACTCACACCATTGAAATTCAATTTGTATTATTTTCTACAAGTTTCATCCAACAACTCTTAGAAAAGACCGTTCCTTATTGACTAGACACAAGAATTAAATCAGTGAAATCAAGCCTTAATTCTATGAATGATAATAAGAGCTAATTACAAGTTTACACTGTAAGAAAATTCGGTACCAAACTCACAATCACATCATTGAAATTTCCATTTGTATTTTTTTTTTACAAGTTTCACCCAACAACTCTCAAAAAAGTTGATTCTTTATTAACCAAAGACAAACTAAATCAGCAAAATCAAGACTTAATTCTATCAATGACCATAAGAGTCAAGTACAAGTTTCCACGGTAAGAAGATTCAGCCATCAATCATAATCATCCCCTTAATTGATTTTCAATGCTCTAAAATATTTCCTTAATTCTATCCTTGATTTCATTGATTCATAAGTGTTTGTATAGAGTTATGAGTAACATGTCACCAATTTCTCTTGAAATAATTTCACTTTTTTCATTATTAATTTGTAATGCTTTATTCAATCAAAATCAATTAATGACAATATTTCTTGAAGTGAAATCTTATGATAAATACATGGAATCAAACCAAGTGGATGACTACAGATTCTCCTTGTCACACTAAATGAAAAGACTTTATCATAATTATAGTCCTTGTCACTTAAGATTATAATATTTCATTATAAGTATATATTGTGTGTGAATCATTTTCCTCACTTAATTGTGAATTGATAAGGGTTAAGGTCTTTTTTTTTTTTTTTTTTTTTTTGGTACAAAGAGGGTTAATTGTTGCAGAGCTTGAATCTTTGGGTTAAATGGTAAGGAGTGAAGTGAACCATGCCAAAGATAAATTTCTCTATTGTTATTTAGGTACAAATGGTTCTAACAAGTCAGACTCACCACCTTCAAGGGGAAATGGTTGTTCTTATCTAGATAAAATCAATGTGTCTTTATAAGAATTAGTCACAAGAGAGAGGTTATTCCTTCACTTAAATCCTAAATATTTTCTTTATATTTTCCCCATAATTCAAACTTCAAAAATAAAATTTTATAAGAAACAAAAATACAGTACTATATTTGATATTATTCAAAAGTCCAAGGGCCACTGCCCCCCGTCCTATACTACACTGGCTCTGTCACTAATTGACAGATTGATTGGAAAAATTTGCAAAGACTTTTTAAGTCAATGCATATACATGAACCGTCTAATAACAAGACTTAAGTTGACAACATTAATTGACTGGAAAAGTTTGCATAGAAGAGGGATTTAGGAACACTCATAACAATTACTCTTTTGAGTTGATTAGCTCCATTCAAATTTAAATCTTTAAATTGGGTAGGAAACTCATAAATGGTACTGATACTTTTTAGATAGGTATTTTTTTCACAGTTATAAATTACACA